GCGCCATTAAAAGAACAACTACATAACACATAAGAAAGGCAATAAGAACTAAGAATAAAAGATGTAAAAAATCATAGGAATTCTCTGTTAATAACTGAAAAAATTGGGCTGGAAAAATTGGGCAGTAAAATTCTGGAAAAAATTCGCCAGCATTTCGCTGCTTTTTGGACGTTTAGAAAGAAAAAGAATAAGAAGAAGAAGAAGAAGAATGAAAATCAGAAGTTCAGAACATACCTGTTGAAGTCTTGAAGTCTTGAACTTGAAGTTGAAGAAGAAGAAGAACAACCCTAGTTGATGATTTGAGATTCTTTCAGAAATCAGAAGTAGATGAAGAAGAAGTCGCTGCTGTTGGAAGTTGAAGAATACTAGTCGCTGTTGTTGAAGATCAGTGTTTAATCCAAAAAATTTGTTTTTAATAAAATAGGGTTGGGTATTTTAATACAGAGAAGCGGACGCTTCTCTTCGCTTCGCTTTCCCCGCTTCTCGCTTTTTACAGAGAAGCGGTCACTTTTACTGACCTGAGTCGCTTCACCTTGCTGAAGCGCTGCCTTTCACGCTTCGCCTCGCTTCTCGCTTAAAGCGATGAAGCGAGCGCTTTTTTAAACACTGGTTTATCCCTCTGCTACCATGATAAATCTCATTGAAAAATCCATAATCCAAATTGTCACAGTGTGAACCCTGTCCATCTAGTCAGGCAGAATTCAGGTCACACACTAAAGAGATAAAATATTCAATTTTAGTATCTAACTGTATAGGGTACCATTTTCACATTTGCCATTTGCCAAATCCATGCACGTGCAATACACGTACGTGACCTCGTAATGGAAGTGTAGATTACACTGACCGGAAAGAGATAGAAGCTAAGGACATAAATTTTGTAGTGAACTTGCAGATTTTCAAATTTTTGAATTTGAGTTTTGTTTCATGGATAAAACTTGAAATTTTTACTGAATTTCTCATCGTTTTTTAGGTTGATGGACACCCCATTTATAGCATGGCAACGCCTACCATTGCAGGTGCAAAGGAGATGTTAACTTACCTTGGTGCAGAGCAGACATCAAAAGAAAGAGTTGCTAAGAGAGTGGTTTTAACTGATCTGAGGGAAGAGGCTGTTGTTTATATTAACGGAACACCTTTTGTTCTTAGGGAATTAGACAAGCCTGTTGAATCCTTGAAGCATGTTGGAATCACTGGTTCATTGGTCAGTCTTCAATCAATTTACCCCTTCAAATAATTAGTTATGATAATTCTATTATCTTTAAACTTCATTTTCCCCACAGGTGGAACACTTGGAGGCACGGTTAAAAGATGACATACTATCTGAGATTAGACAATCTGGTGGTAGGATGCTTTTGCATCGTGAAGAGTATAGCCCATCTTTAAATCAAGTTAGTATCATTGGATATTGGGAGAACATATTTGTAGATGATGTTAAGACTCCTGCGGAGGTATATGCAAGTCTGAAGTACGAAGGGTATGACATAATCTATAGAAGGATACCATTGACTAGAGAGAGAGAAGCCTTGCCTACGGATATTGATGCTATCCAATACTGTAAGGACGGGTAAGTAGCAGCACTTAACCTGCAGAACATTTCAATGTCATCAACTTCTGAGACAGGTCATTCAAATTGACAGTTAACAGTTTTTGTGAGGGCAAAGTTGGTATAATGGGATTGAGGTGTAATCATTGATTGAATATTAAAGCTGGTGTAGCTTCTTGTCCTGCTGCATCCATCTCCATGACATTGACAGACTGCCCTAGATCTAGAAGTAAAATCATGTCTATCAAATGGCTCGTCGTAGCAACTCTAATATATCCCGGAGAATTTCCAAATGCAAATAAGATATAAAAATATGCCTTGCTAAACTTCTTTTTCAATCGTGAGTTTAGGAATCTGATCTAACATTAACTTGTCATTGCCAATTTATACTAGTTAGTGCGCAAAATCTATCATTTCTGAAGTAGTCTGGCTCAGTTTGGTGTTTGAGAAGCCTTTAATCTTCATTCTTTGATAAGATAAATGTCACAACATGCTTCTTCTTTTGTTGTAATCTCTCCGAATCCAGAGAAAAAGTATATTCTATGTCAGGTGCAATGTGGCTTTGATTGTCAAAGGGCATAATATGGCTTTCTAGTGATGATTTTCTACCTGTGTCCGTGAAGAATGTATTTGAAAGTTTGTTAACCAGTGACTTCCTTTTCTATGTTCTCATTAGAAGGAAAATTAAACTAATTGTTTTTTTCTTCCTTTTGCCTGCCTCTAAACAGCGCTGCAGGATCTTACCTTTTTGTATCACACACAGGATTTGGAGGGATTGCTTATGCAATGGCTATTATTTGTTTAAGGCTTGAAGCTGAGGCTAAGCTGTCATTAGATATTCATCGACCATTTGAAGGCACTGTGCTTCCATGTCCACCTCTAGAGAGTTTCAATGTTCAAAATTCGAATGAAGAAGCACGCAAAATGGGTGACTATAGGGACATATTAAGCCTCACTAGGGTTCTTGTGCACGGTCCTGAGAGCAAGACAGATGTTGATATTGTAATAGAAAGGTATGCATTCTCTATTTAATCCATAAACGCATGAGTTTTCTTCTCTAGCTTCCTGTGGCAGTCCAGCTTCCTCAAGTAATGCACAGGAGATTGGTTCAAGGACATAAATTTCATAAACCTACTCATACCACAAAATCACGGAATATATAGATTCAAAGAGTGATTCTCTATGCAACAGTAAAAGGAACTAGTGATTAGACTTTTCTGATTTTACTTGGTGAAGTCAGTTAGTCCATCAACTATATCCTTTCATGTCTTATTAACTTAGATCTGTATATATTAGGGCAACTGGGTAAATCTAGTACTTTAAGAATAACCTATTCAGGTCTCTGCTATCGCGTCATTCCTCCCTACACATGCCCCTGTACCCTCACTTAATCATGTTCAGTGTTCACCATCTATTTGCAATTCAATTCTCCTTCAGTTTTTTAACTCCTATCTTTGTTCGATGGTAATTTAAGAGTCTTGTACAAATGAGTTTTGTGGCAGCAGATGTGTCTTGAGGGTTTGGTATAGTTGGTGCTTAGTCTATCAGTTTCTGGTGAAAGAAAATATAATCTAATCGTTCATAAAGCTTCTAAGAGCGAATGCAGGTTGAAGGATGTTAAGGAAATGGAAAAGGGTTGTAAACTCATCTATGTTTGAATTCTTCTCCTTCGTTATAGATACCGGGATAGAGAGAGCAGATAAAGTAGTGTCCATGAGCGCACTGTTCAAAATTTATTGCAGTAGTGCACCGTTTAATATTATGAGAAATAAGAGAAATGGGTCCGCACTTATGGGTCTGGATTTCTCAGCACCAAGAAAAGTTCTTTTTTACTTGGATGGCAGCGAGGGGAGCAATTGTTCAGTGTAGATGTCGATCACCTCCTCCTACATAGTCTGGTGGCAACTCGGTTGTGGTGTGAGATTTGAGATGGCTTGGGCTGCAAAGGGCATTGTTGGACACAGTGAAGGAGGCAGTCTGCGGCGGGAAATTTGGAAAAGAAATCCAATAGCCTGGGATGTTCCTCCACATGTGCTTCCTGTGGAAGGGAAGGGACAGGAGAGCTTTTGATGAGATTTTTGTTTCCCGATGGATAGAGAATTTGAGGAATAGTTTCTCATTTCTAGTTTCTTCTTGGTGCATCCATGAGGTACCAGTTTGTATAGAAGATTGGGTGTCTTTCGTGGAGAATCATATTATGTTGTAAACTGTCTACTTTTTGGTGTACTGCTTGTATACTTTTCTCATTACTAATGGAATTATTTACCTTGTCTCCAAAAAAGAAAAAGGAAGAGAGAGGATGGTTTGCGGGAAGATCATTGCTGGCCAGCTTTCTAAGTTTGAAATTGATGGAAAATACTGAATTTTGCACTAATGTCTCACGTCATAATTCTACTTTGATATGGTAGAAGTGTAGGAGTTGATCTAGCTAGTTTGATCCTGAAGCTTTGAATCAAGTGAATAGCTAGCCACTCTTTTACCTCTGAATATTTTATCTGACAGTCTTTCTTTTATATTTCCATAGGTGTGCAGGTGCAGGTCATTTGCGAGAAGATATAGTTGAATATGCAAAGGAGCTTGAAAAGAATTTAGATGAAGATGAAGAACGTCGAGCATACCTCATGGATATGGGCATTAGAGCTTTAAGGTTGGTTGTCATCCATCTCTTTTTTAAATGAAGCATACTCAGCATAGAAAAACAATTTTCAGAAATTTGACCCTTTATTCTAAAGAAAAAAAGGTACTCCTTACTTGTCACTTTAAAGAAACAATGGTGTCATTTTCTCTAACAGAGGGTGTGACAAGTCTGCGTTATAGGCCCCAAAGAAGAAGTAGCACAGAGTTTTGTGTTACAGTTTGTGGTATAAGTAGAGAACAAGTTGGCCTATATTTAATCTGAAGAGTTTGTTGATAAACATGAACGGTAGAAGCAGAGGACAGAATATGCTCATTTAGAAGGAACATACATACAGCCCCAGCACCATCTTAGAGGTCCTCTTTTGAATGCTTTATTATTAAGATAGAGCTGAAACTTCTATTTTGCAGTGGAAATGAGCATAAAATATTGAAGATTTTTAAAAAGTGGGGAAAAGTTTTTCCAAAAGATTGTGGACAGAGCACGGGACAAACTAAAGTAGAAAACAGAAGACATAATCGGGACTGGAGTAGTATAACATAACTGAATATAATATGTCTTTGAGAATTGAACTTGCACCTTGGCCCATATTTCATTCATAGGCTATATATTTCTTATACAATTAGCCTCTTCCTTGGAATGGAAAGGTGCTGTTGAGAAATTGAGTTACTCTTTGGTCCGATTTCAGTAGGTGGGGCTAAGCATCCTTTTTCCCGGAGCGATGGCCAGTAGACATATATCTTAAGGTGCTTTGCTGCAAAGAAGGCAAAAATTTACAACAATTTCAAATAATGGTTTTATTTCTTTTCTTTTTGCAGGCGATATTTTTTCCTGATCACATTTAGATCCTATCTCTACTGCTGTTCTCCAGCTGAGATAACATTTAGTAAATGGATGGATGCGAGACCTGAACTTGGCCACCTATGTAATAATCTCAGAATTGACATATAATGAGGATAGTGTCAACACATATCCAACATTAGACTCCAAAGCTCTCTGTGCATATCTATAAACATGGGGGACATGGAATGAGAAATTGCTGATACTAGATTCATGACTTGTGGAGGAAGACAAGTTATTGTCATTCTTTGAAGGGAGCTGATAGCTAATAACAATTAATTCGTTCAGATTGTAGACATCTGTGCTGCAGCCAAGCAAGAGGAAGCAAACTGCAAGACTGTGGCAGACAGAAGTTGCAATGAATCAGAACTATTCCCATGTATAACATGAGGAAACAAAAGTTCGTAGGTTAAAGGGAGGTTCAAAGTTGCAAGTTAAGGAATATTTCAGTACTCTATGGTCAACATATCGTAAAGCTGCTTTCAAACCAATGTACGTGTATAACTAGCTTTTGCTGTAGAAATGCAGAAAAATATAAAATAGTATTCGAGCTGGAGATGTATGACATGTTTGTGTTATTAACTATTGACATGTATAGAAGTTGCTTCATATGGACATGGATTTATTTGTCTTGGCATTCATAGACATAACTTTGCCTCATGGCCAAAGAAAGGAAAAGATGGTATGAAAATAATTTGAGGAAAAAGATGATGCAAATTACAGGCTTGCTGTTGGTTGTATACTTGTTATGACTTGCAAATCCACTACACATCAGTCTCCAATTAGTTGGAATCTGGTATAGAAATCTTTTATATGAGTCTTTCTCTTTGCTCTATGGTTTATGTGCTAATAAAAGGCAAAAACCTAATGTGTAGAGTGATAAAATAGAACGATGCATATTAAGACTGAAATTCTTCTGTTATCCCTCATTCAGCTCAAGTCCATGCTTATAAAAGAGGATTACGAGTACCATGATAATTTTTTTAAATAAACAAAAAGTATAAAACATTTGTTGATTTCTCAAGAAATAAATTCATGCTTTCATAATGCGTAGGGATAAAACTTTTGAAATAAAGACATACGAATATTTTTCAAGGTTAATTGCGAAAAGGTATGTAGACAAGGCGAAAGTAAACAGGAATTGAACAACAAAAAAACGACCACCCAGTATAATCCCACAAGTAGGGTCTGGGGAGGGTAGGATGTACGCAGCCTTACCCCTACCCTGGAGGGGCAAGGAGACTGTTTCCGATAGACCCTCGGCTAAAGACGGTAAAGGAAGCCCTGATATCAAGTAATAGTAAGACCAATAATTAGAAAACTAAATCGAAGATAGCAACCGAGAATATGAAAGGGGTACCAATAACAAGTAATAGCAAGACAGTATAATTAGAGAAATAAATCCAAGGCAGCACACGAGAATATGAATGAAGTACTGCTAGCAAACTACGGAATTACCGATGGCAAGTAGTAATGGAACAAGACATGCGAATATAGCAAACTAAGGAAAAATAGGGTACCATACTAGCACTAATACTATCGAACTAGAGAAGACAAAGGAAAATGCATGACTACCTACTAACCTTTTACCCTAATCTTCAACTTCCACACCCTTCTATCTAGGGTCATGTCCTCGGTCAGCTCAAGCTGCTCCATGTCCCGCTTGATCACCTCTCCCCAAGACTTCTTTGGCCTACCTCTACCCCTCCTCTCACCTCCCAAGGCCAACCTCTCACATCGCCTGACTGGGGCATCTGTGCTTCTCCTCTTAACATGCCCGAACCATCTCAACCTTGCCTCACGCATATTTGCCTCCACAGGGGCCACTCCCACCTTATCCCGAATAACTTCACTCATAATTCTATCCAACCTAGTATGTCCACACATCCATCTCAACATCCTCATTTTCGCTACTTTCATCTGCTGGACATGAGACTTTTTGACTGGCCAACACTCTGCCCCATACAACATAGTCGGTCTAACCACTACCTTGTAGAACTTACCCTTAAGTCTTAACGACACATTTTTATCACACAAGACATCGAAAGCGAGCCTCCACTTCATCCACCCTGCTCCGATACGGTGTGTGACATCCTCATCTATTTCCCTATTCTTCTGAATTATGGATCCCAGATACTTGAAACTTTCTCTCCTGGGAATAACTTGCGTATCGAGTCTCACATCCCCGTCCGCCTCTTGGGTAACACCGCTGAACTTGCACTCAAAGTATTCTGTCTTGATCTTGTTCAACTTGAAACCCTTAGACTCTAGAGTATGTCTCCAGATCTCCAGCCTCTCGTTAACGCTACCTCGCATCTCATCAATTCGTACTATGTCATCCGCAAATAACAAGCACCAAGGCACCTCCCCTTGAATGTGACGCGTCAAAGAATCCATCGCCAGGGAAAACAAAAACGGGCTAAGTGCTGATCCCTGATGCAACCCCATCTCAACCGGAAAGTAGTCAGAGTCTCCTCCTGCTGTCCTAACTTGTGTCTTAGCCCCATCATACATGTCCTGAATCACTCTAATATACACTACAGACACTCCTCTAGCCTCCAAACATCTCCATAGAACCTCTCTCGGGACATTGTCGTAGGCTTTCTCCGGGTTAAAACACAGGAATTGAAAAATATCAGAATTCATAGATACATTAAGCAAATCAATTTCTCAAGCAAGGAGGATAAAGAATAAGTCTTTCACAAGTCACAACAATTGACAGTGACATAAATGATCAATGTAGTATGCTGTGCAGTTAATGTGCCGAGATTGTTATAGCCAGTCACGGGAAAACTATTTTCTTTTTCTTAAAATTAATTAACACTAAGAGTGTGTTTGGTAGGAAGGAAAATGTTTTGATGGAAAATGAATGGTTTTATCACTTATTTTCTCTTGTTTGGTTGGTGAGTGAAATTTTTTTTCCGAAAAATAATTTTATAGTGTTTGGTTAGAGAGTAGAAAATAACTTTTAGTAAAATAATTTTTTATGCTACTCTCCTCCCCCCTCCCCCAAATACCCAACGTTTTTAGGACTCTATTTCTTCAAGAATTTAATTTTTCCTTTAAAAATTCATACAAACCCAAAGGAACTAATGTGCTGTTTTATTTTTTTACGCAAATATAATGTTAAAATTTGTGCTCCGTAACTGAAAAGCAAATACTCTTTTTTGATTTAAAAAGAAAGTACGCTTTCTACAATATGAAAATAAAGTACTCATTTTGTTGAAATAAAAGAAAATACTTTTTCTACATCATGAAAAGAAAATATTTTTTCTACATTATAAAAAGAAAATAGTCATTTGTTGAAATGAAAGAAAATAATTTTTCTATATCTTGAAAAGAAAATACCCTTTTTGCTGAAATGCAAGAAAATACTTTTTACTACATCATTTTGTTGAAATGAAAGAAAATACTTTTTACTAGCTACATCATTTTGTTGAAATAAAAGAAAATACTTTTTACTACATCATTTCGTTAAGTCATGAAGAGAAAGTACTTTTTTTGTTAAAATAAAAAAAAATACTTTTTTATATCATAAAAGGAAAATACTCATTTGTTGAAATAAAAAAAAAATACTCTATCTATTACATGAAAAGAAGGTATTATTAATAATATTTCTATTTAGGGCGGAGCGTGAGGAGTGGGGGTGAGGGTGAGGGTGAGGGTGGGGTGTGGGTGGGTAGGTGTGGGTATGGATGTGGGTTGGTGAAGATGGGGAATTGGGTAAAGAAGGTTGAAAAGGAGTTTTGAAAAATATTTTTTCTTCTCTTGATAGGGAAAATATTTTCTTCCAATTGGAGGAAAATGAGTTCATGAAAAAAATATTTTCCAACACATTTAAGCCAACTAAACATGAGAAAATTAAAAAAACATACGGAAAATATTTTTCTTCATACCAAACACACCTAAATAATGTCCAATGGATACCCAATGAATTCTCAAAAATTTTATATTATGATTGTAGTTTGTTAAAAGCGATTTAAAGCTGATCATAAATACCAACTCATATGGGTTTTTTTATACTAAATCAAACAATTTAGTCTGAACAGTTAAGAATCAATGTGAAAATACACATATTACTTAATTATAACTAAGTGAATACTGTTAAAAAACTTAACTCAAAGTATTAATATAATACAAGTAAAAACAAGAGATATAGAGAGAAAGAGATGGGCAGTTCTTATTTCTTCCATGTATTCAAGTGTATACAATGTGATACCCAAACCCTCTGTTTATAGGATAATATTTAGGTAATACAAAGGGATGCCGTGAACATGGTATTAACTATCGAGATCATGGGGAAAGATTATGGAGGTGTTGGAGTTACAACCATAATGGTAAGAAGTAGTGAGAGGTTAATGGAGAAGAGTAGTGGGTGTTACTTCCTTAGGAGTTATGGACATCCACCATAATCAAGTACTTCATAACATTCCCTCTTAGATGTCCAAAGATAATGTGCCTCGTTACAAATTTACTAGGAAAAAATCCAGTGTGAAAAAAATCATAGTGAAGGAAAAAGAGTACACATATCTTGTAATACGCATTGTTTGCTGCCTCGTTAAAAACCTTGCCAGGAAAATCCAGTGGGATAAAACCTTAGCTAAGGGAAAAAGAGTGCAGTGCGTGCTATACTCCCCCTGACAAAAATATCGCTTGATATCTTGGAGACGATGAATTCCAATCTTGTATAACAACTTCTCAATTGCTGAGTTTGGCAATGCCTTGTGAAGAAGTTTGCCAAATTATCACTTGAACAAATTTGTTGAACATCAATTATTTATGAAATAGAACTTTGGTGAAATATGCTTTATTTTATCTCCTTCGATAGTCCTTCTTTCAATTGAGCTATGCATGTAGTATCGTCTTCAATATAATTGGAATCTTGTTGAATATCATAATATGGCAATACCCTCATAGACAAATAGATTATATAAACAACAAACTATGCCCTGCATTTGTATAACCAACGAAACCTTGGCAATATTTGTTAGAATAAACAAATTTATATCAAGGATTCTTTTTGCAATATAACACTAATCGTATTTCAGTATCTCCACATAGGTTTTATACTTTCAGGTGTTGGGACTATCCGTCCAACTTCATATTTTTCAGATGAAGTCAATTTTTATTGCGTATTTTTCATTTGGCCAATCATTTATTTGTCCAAATTCCATGGCAGATTTGAGATCAAGATCCTCGTCAACATTAATAATATTGAGCGCTACATTATATCAACAATATCGTCGACAGTCATTTTATATTGGTTCCACTATAACTCAATAAAGACATAACTTATCGAGATCCCTTTATCTCATTATTTTTAGGTACTTGAGCCTCTCCTATGAGGTCTTATGAAGTGTTATGTCATGGTGCTCTTCTAGAGCACTTGCCTCCTTATTATGACAATCTTGATCATTTGCTTCTCTCCTTCTTCAAGGAGTTTTATCTTTGAAACTGATTGGTCTATTACGCTTTATGCGTTCCATAGACTCTGTCCATCATGGACTTTATTTTATTTGGAATATTAGCATATGAAATATGAGATTTAGCTTTGGGCTAGCAAATGCGCCTGCAATATTCTGCAAATGAATTATCACTTGAACTTCAAGTTCAGATTTTCTTATACGAGGATCTTGATGTACTCATAATAATTCATTCCATGTATTGCTTTTTCAGCTGCCAATTTTCTTCCCCTTATGTTGGGATCACCAACACATATCTCAACCTTATTTGAAGACCCATCTTTGTGTATTGTGGTGGAATAAATAAACTATATAACACATCCGTATCTCTAGATGAAAATTATTTAGTTCCTAACCCTGAACCAATTGTGATAGGAAGAATTTATTTTAACTTGTTGGCTAGATGCGTATACACGCTGTTGTATATTAAATAATATACCTCACACCAAATTTTATTTTAGTAGTTTTGTTCTCATAACCAATGGTTTAGCTATAATTGGAGGCATACAATTTCTGCTAAACTAACTTGGATTTAAACCAGTATTATCAAAATAAATCATCATTATTTTGGAACTGTGCTCTAATAATTTGAGCAAGCAACCTTGCAAAAGCCAAACTGCAAGTTGATAATAAACGCACATGTGACCATACAATAGATGCATCTATGAAAATCATATAATAGTAAACGGTCCACATAGCAGGTGATTGAGACCAATATATATATATATANTCCCAACCTTAGCTGTTGATGGTTTAATAACCAATTTACCTTGAGAACAAGCAGAACAAGGGAATTCCTTAAATTGAAGAATCTTCTTATTCTTCAATGTGTGCTCATTTGAATTCTCTATTATTTTGCGCATCATGTTAGAACCAGGATGACCCAACTGGTCATGCCAAATGATAAAATCATTAGAAAAAGTAAATCTTTTGTTTATTATGGCATGTGATTCAACCACACCAATGTTTATGTGGTACAATCGAGAAGAAAATGAGGGTAATTTTTCGTGCACACATTTTCCCCCCGCTTTTATTGTAGTAATATAAAGGTATTCAACCTTTCCTTCGTTAGAGGTCTCAACATGGTAGCCATTTTGGCAAATAGCTTTGAAACTCAACAAGTTTCTTTGAGACTTACTACAATACAATACATTATTAATAGTTAATATCGTTCTTCCAAGTGGTAATAAGGCCGCTCTTCCAGAGCCCTTAATTAACTTTGTACTACTAGATATTGTATTAACATAGGCCTTTTTCATAACCAAATAAAAGAAAAATTTCTTTTCTCTTAATATTGTGTGAGTTGTAGCACTATCCAAAAGGCATAAATCTTCATTACTCATCTTGGATCTAATTGAAGACTGGAGAATTTTATTTTCTTCATAAAAAAATAAAAGTACACCATGAGAAATACGGAAAAACTAACAACACCAATAATAACATAAGACAACTTAAGTACTACTTGAAAATAAAAACAACTTTAGAACGAGACGAAAAAAATACTGAAAATAAAAATAACAACATAATTGCATTCCCCAGTAAAATGATCAAACTTTAGTTTTGATCTCCAAAGAAGTCTTCAACTTCCAAATGAGTAAGATCATCGAGGCCTTCAAAATCATCATCATTCAAAGCAAGATTTGCCTCGGCATTATCATTATTTTTGTTTGAAGGCCCTACCTCAAAATTATTTTTAAAGGTCAAGTGAAACTCCACTGGGGCATTAGCAGAAAATGCTCCAACATTATTTGCCTTTCTTTTTATAGAGTTTTGATAAAGTTTGACAAAATGCTCAGGTGCACGACATTCAATTTTCCAATGACCTTTCATGCCACATCGGTGGCAGTTACCGCTTTTGCCTCTCGAATGATTGTTTTGAGAACTCATATTGTTCTCTCATTTGCCATGACCACCACGATAACGATTATTATATCGTATCTTGCCATTGCCATGCCCACGTATATTCATATGGCCATGATAATTATTCTGTCTTTTTTCAGACTTATCACGTCTCGCTACCATATTCACTTCAGGAAGCGGAGCTGACCCTATGAGTCAGGCTTCATGATTTTTCAGCAAAAGGGTATTATGTTGCTCAGCCACCAGAAGGCATGAGATCAATTTAGAATATTTTTTAAAACCCCTTTCATGGTATTGCTGCTGTAATACCATATTTGAGGCATGAAAAGTCGTAAGAGTCTTTTCCAACAAATCCTCATCAGTCATAACATCCCCACATAATTTTAATTGGGAAGTTATTCGAAATACAACAGAGTTGTACTCACTTATGGTCTTAAAATCTTGAAACCGTAAGTGCATCCACTCATATCAAGCCCTTGGCAATACCGTAACATTAAGGTGATCATACCTTTCCTTTAGTCCAGTCCACAATTCAAGTGGATCTTTCATTGTCAAATATTCAATCTTCAAACCTTCATCCAAATGATGGCGAAGGAAAATCATGGCCTTTGCTTTGTCTTGATGCCTCATTACCCTGAGTAATGGTGTCACCAAGGCCTTTAGCGGCTAAGTGAATCTCAACATCGAGAACCCATGATAGGTAATTCTTTCCAGAAATGTCAAGTGCCACAAACTCAAGCTTTGACAAATTCGACATAATGAAAACTATCAAAAAAGATAAATAATTAGAAATCATTAGGATAATAGCGTAAAGAATCTTAAAAATTGACATAATATCAAATTTGTAATCGATATATACTAAAGTGATAATTCCATAGAAAAGAATACTATTTTTTTTTTTCAAATTATTAGTATATATTTGATTTTAACTAGAACAAAAATGTCTTCTAACTTTAACACAATTTCAAATGTCGAACAACATAAAACAAGTATTCTTCTCTCAATTAATTCTATTAACATGAAAATTAGCAACTTTCACATGACAATCATGTAAATAACTTAAAATAAAGAAACAAAGAATTCTTTATTTTTACACATATCCAGAGATGTGAGAAATTATAAAGCTGCATATTAAAGACACTAACCATGAAATCAAAATATACAACGAAGAAAATAGAACGAACAAATATACCTGAACAGTGAAAAGAGCTCAACTTCGTGCTGATAACGTATTAAGAAACTTAGCTCAAAGTAATAATATAATACAAGAAAATAGGTAAGAATGTAGAGAGAAAGAGATGAGAGATTTTTATTTCTTCCATCTATTCAAGTGTATACAATGTCATGCCCAAACCCTCTATTTATAGGATGATATTTAGGTAATACAAAAGGATATCATGAACATGGTATTAACTATTAAGATCATGGGGAAAGATCATGGAGATGTTGGAGTTACAAACATAATGGTAAGAAGTAGTGGGAGGTTAATAGAGAAGAGTAGTGGGTGTTACTTCCTTAGGAGTTATGGACATCCACCATAATCAAGTATTTCATAACAAATACATATATGCTTATAAAAGACATATATCTTATAAGTATTTGTTAGTTAATGTAAAATAACCTTCTATTAAACTTAGGCAAAATACATAAAGACCCCATTAAACTTGTCCAAAAAATAGTTTTGAACACTTTAGCTAAACGGGTATTCTTTTACCCCCCCCAAACACATTGCAAGTAAATTTTATTCCACCCTGCATGACCCCAGACTAGTTAAAGACTAACGAGTGTGAGCCACACTCTTTCTGGTGATGCCACGTCATAAATGAACTCAAATCTTTTAATGATTCGGTCCATTACTTAAAAACCCGCCCAATTAAAATACCCGACCCGCTACCTTTTATTTTTTACCCTAGGCTAAATTACCCAATCTCATTTCTCTCTAAACAAAACGAGAAAAGGGCTGATGAAGTCAAAACCTAGTGTCGATTTTTTCACAAATCTCGTCGATTAGAGTGTAGATACTGAAGATCGTTGGCTTCTCTTGTAGGTTCTTCTTGTTTTCTTTAATCTCTTGTCGAATTTGAAGTGTAAAAAAATATTTACGGACATTTTTCTTATTTACTGATTTCAGTTCGAAGAAATGGCTTTTGAGCTCGTTACACTGAGGATGTTCCGTGGAGGTCAGTTACAACAATATCCTATCAACTACGAAGGTGGTATTATGACAGAGTACTTTGATATTGATAGATTTTCGTATTTTAAGTTTGTAGACTATGTGAAAGAAAATATGTATAATTGTGAAACATGTAACATTTATGTGAGACCACCTAATTCTAGCACTTTGGTAAAAATTTTAACTGATAGGGATATTATGGGTATTGTGCCTCTATTAAAAAATAGGAATATATTTGAAGTGTATGTGTCCCACTCTGTTGATGAAGCATTAGTGGTCCCTCCAGCTATTGAATATGTAAGCCATGTGTGTGGGGAATCTAGTGTGTCTTTTGATAAAGGGATAGATCAAAGTGTTGGGGGCAACGAAGGTGTAGGGTTTGAAGAACCACAAAATAGTATCCCTGCTACTGATAATGTGCCTGGTGGGGATGAGGGTGATCCTTCTAATCTTGATGATACTCCATTAGTTGAAACTGATGTAAAAAGCAGTGACCATAGTACATATTCAGAAATTGAAGAGCTATTTGAGGAAGGGGAAGAAGAATATGGTAGTGATGTTGATGAGGAGTATAGGAATTTAATAGAAGAGCGGAAAAATGTGCATAGAAGGAAGAGAAAAGAGAAATAGGTTCAAATCATACATGCCAAGTAAGGTAAAAAGGTCCAGATGTAGGATATGATGAGTATGCAGCTATATCTTTAGAGGGTAAGATTGCTGGATATGAGCCATACTATTCCTCAGATAAAGCTGATAGTTTTGAAACAGATCCTGATGAAACTACTTATGATGAAGGTGAAGATGAAGTCCAATAGCCAGTAAGAGCAAGAAGAAAACAACAAAATAGGGTTATCTTTGATCCTAGTTGTAAGTTAATTATTTGGGAAACTGGACTTTCTTTTGAGAGTGTTAGACAGTTTAGAGAAGCACTTACTGAGTATACAGTTGATGAACATGTAGAGTTAGATAAGTATGTTAATGCACCAACAAGGGTGAGGGTAAAGTGGTGTGCTGGCTGTCCATGGCTCTTGTTTGCTAGTTATGATTCTAGGACAAACGATTTTATAGTGAAGAACTATAATCCACTTCACAAGTGCAATGGGACTATTAAGAACAAATTGTGCAACTCAAAGTACTTGGCAGAAAGATACAAGGACAGAATAATTTCTGAACCAAATATTAGAATCTTTAAGTTCCGGGAGTTAGTTCAAAAGGAGTTAGAAGTGTATATTGGAAGGACTGTTGCAAGGAAAACCAAGAATATTGCATTAACACAGATTATGGGAGACCATGTTAAGGAGTTTGGTAGAATTCTGGACTATAGAGATGAGCTGCTAAGGACTAATCCAGGCAGCACATATATTGTGAGACTTAGTAAAGAAACACATGAAGATGGAAGGAAAATGTTTGTAGCATTTTATATCTGATTTGATGCATTGAAGAAGGCCTTCCTTGATGGTTGTAGGAGGTATATTGGGTTTGATGGTTGTTTTTTGAAAGGTGTATGTAAAGGGCAATTACTTGTGGCTGTTTGTAAGGATGAGAATAATTACATGTTGCCATTAGCTTGGGCAGTAGTTGAAGTTGAAAACACATTTAATTGGAGATGGTTTGTGAACCTTTTAAAGAATGATCTTGAGCTTGGAGATGGGACAGAGTTGACTGTTATTACAGACATGCAGAATGTAACTTATATTATGTTAAATGTGTTGTTCAAATCTGTTAATTCTATTTATTCTTTTAACTATTTATATTTTATATGTTGTAGGTACTTGACAAAACAATCAGTGAGATCCTCCCACAGGCAGAACATAGGATGTGTGCCATGCACATCCTAGCAAACTGGTCAAAAAAATGGAGAGGCATTGAGAGAAGGAACTGTTTTTGGAGATGTGTTAGGTCAACTTATGAACAAGAGTTAAAAAACAATCTTGATCACATGGAGAAACTAGGAGATAAAATAGTTGAAGACCTGCAATACTATAACAAAGAGAGGTGGTGCAAGGTGTATTTCAAGTATTTCAGCAATCGTGATAGTGTTGACAACAATATGGCTAAAATTTTCAATTCTTGGATATTGGGACCAAGGCACAAGACAATCATCACAATTCTTGAATAGATTAGGGTGAAGATGATGATAAGAATAGCACAAATGAGGGATTTCTGTGATACTTGGATCAGTGACATTTCTCCAATGGCACTGAAGGTGTTACAGGAGAACACAACAAAATCAATGAAATGTGTGGTGCACTGGAATGGTCAATATGGTTATAAAGTGAAGGAAGGACACACCAGTAAGCATATAGTGAATCTGAACATGCTAACCTGCACTTGTAGAGCTTGGATGCTGAAGGGTATACCATGTGCTCATGCTGTAGCTGCTATCCATTTCAAGAAATTGGAGCCAGTTAACTACATTGCACATTGGTACCATAGGGAGACTTATATGAAAACCTACAGTCACTTCCTTCAGCCTGTACAAAATATGGAGATGTGGCCACAATTACAAAACCCTTCAGTTATACCACCAGAAGTAAGTAAGAGTAATGCCTGGCAGGCTTAAGAAAGTGAGAAGGAAGGAACCAACTGAAAACAAAACAGGAAAGCTTTCCAAAAGAGGTACCCAGATGACCTGCAACAACTATCATGCTAAATGCCATAACAAGAAAGGTTGTCACAAGGCTACACAAGGTACTACAAGATCAACTGGTGGTGCAAAGTCATCAAGTGTTGGTTCTTCATCAACACCTTCAGTTCAAAGTATACCAAAACAGGAACAGGAACAGGAATAGGAAGACTAAGAGGTTCAACAAAACAGGTAATTATTCTGAAGTTACTTCTATAGACTGCATATTTGTAGGTCTATTTTATGTTTAACCTCTTAATAATTTATACTTTTTATAGGATATTGCTACTGGTATAGGAAGAGAGACACCCTATAAAAGGCCAAGAATGGTTGGTATGGGAATTCTACAAACAGAAAGTGGAGCTTCCATCTATAATGTAAGCATATAATGTCAACTGTGACTATGAACTCATTTTGATCAAACTTAGATGTAAACTAACTAAGTTTGTTTCTGTGAATATAGCCTAGAATGTCAGTTGTGCCTAGGAACTCCGCAGTAGTGACTGGAGATATTGGACACAAACCAAGAACAGGGGTGAAATGAAAAGGTAAAGAAGTTATCACCTCAAGAAATCTTCAATATATTCAAGCTAAGAAAAGAATAGAGACAAGGTCAAAGGCATCTGAAAGAGTTCGTTTGAGCCAAACAAGTTCATCAGCACCACAATCAACTGCCAGTAGATATTAGAACTTTAGTGTTTTTGTTTGCCTTTTGGCAGTTGGTATATGTAAAGACAAATGAATTTCTATTTTGGTATATAACTATATTCATCAATGACTGAAAGTTTTTAAGTCTATGGTATTATGTGCAGCAATGACTGTTGATTTGTAGGTCTATTACTGTAAATGATAAGCAGCAATGACTGCAATTTTATTAAGTCAGTTTCTGTGTTCTTCTGTTTAAGTCTGTTTTTCTGCAATATGCAATAGTTACTGCAGATTTGTAGGTTTGTTTACTGGAAATGATATGCAGTAATGACTACAATTTTGTTAAGTCAGTTTTTCAGTTTTTCTATTTAAGTCTGTTGCAAAGTTGTTAATATGTTTTCTGCATAAATATGCTGCTAATATACAACAATGACTGCAAAGTTGTTGATCTATTTTTCTGTATAATTATGCTGCTAATATGCAGCAGTGACTGCAGATTTCTAAGTCAATATAAAGCCTACATTTGTAATAGAGATATTGCCAATTTTCACAACACAAACATATCAACAAGGTGCATTATATTACAACAAAAGTTACACCAAATTTTTACAAAATATGCTGGAATTTTGTTAAGCAACACTAAAGATACTACTGCTACAACTAACCTAAGGCAACTTCATTGAATGATTCTTCATATATACTAGATGAAACCAATAACTTATAGCTATAACACATCCACACAATATAAAAAATTAAAGTACTTTCTCCCTAATCTTGGACTTAACCAAACTGATCCTCCACTTCTTCTCCCTTCCTTTCATCTTCTCTCTCTCTCTCCAACTTCTCTAATTGCATCTCTATCTTCCTTTCCACTTGTTTTTTTTTCTAGGCTTCTCAACACTTTCATACACTTCCAATGCACTTTCAAGTTCACCAATTTTCTCCACCAATTTAGGAATAACAAATTTCGATCTTGGATCAATTTCTGCATCTCTCCAACGCCAAAAATCAAAAGATCTTGGACCCTACAATGATGAAACGCAAAGAATTAAGTAAAGGTCAATCAGTGAAATCTTCAACTAATTTACAAAAATTAAACTTACCCCATAGTATGGACACACCCAATATCTTCTACCGGGGTTTCGAGGGGTCCAAGCAGTCATTATCGGCAACACATAACCATGGTTGCAGCGCACTTCTTCATTCAATCTTGATCATCATCTTCCATGCAAAGCCTAGCCAAGTTAGTTGACCGCATTGTCGACTAAGCCCTAAAATAAGATGAACCCCTCAAATAAGAAGAAATTCGAAACACTCAATAAGCCCTAAAATTAGATGAACTAAAAGATTATAGAGAAGAATAAGGCTTTGATTCAGATAAAAGGATTCGAAATTGTAGGTCTTGGCCAGAATTTATAAGTAATTGAAGGAGAGGAGATTTAGGGTTATTGAAGAAGAGAAGAAGAATTGGATCGGATAATTGAAGATTTTACCGTTGGGTATCCTTATTAAGTAAAGAGTCTCTTTTACCTTTGGGTCTCTTTATTTTATAATGATTTTTCTTTTCTTTTTTTAATTAATTTTATCCATTAATTTTAGTGTAAAACGCGCTCACAAATCAAATGTTTCCACGCGCTGGGTCTGGGGTCATGGAGAGTGAAACAAAATTCACTTACAATGTGTTTAGGGGTAAAAAAATATCCATTTAGTTAAAAAGTGTTCAAACCTATTTTTTAGACAAGTTTAACGAGGTCTTTTATGTATTTTGCCCTAAACTTATTTTAGTAAATTGTGGCAGTTGATGAATATTTTGGTTAAAGGGCACCATTTTGAGACACGTTGGCCTTTTCTTTTTTGGTTGAAGATAAATTCATGCTTCATTTTGCTAAGCAAAATAGAGTATTCACAAAATGAAGATGAAATAGGAAAAGATTGATAGAACAGAATGATGACAACCGGCCAATACAAACAAAATGCAAGTCCAGTTGTGGTGGCATAGTCATACCTCTTCTTCACTGCCCCTATCTTCAATTTTGTACCGTGAAGAAGCCATAGCAGCTGGTGCTACGTGGCACCTCCACAACAACACTGCCTTACCCGCCGCCGCCCTCAGCCTCAGGTTTAACCGAAACCCTAACCAAAAGTCTCGAAGATTCCGTCTTGCTACTTTCACGTCAAACGCTACATTTGACGATGGCGATACTCGGAATGATAATGTCAATGATAAGGGAGACCAAGGCGACGACGATGACGGCGTTGAGATTGAGATTGAAAAATTGGGGAAACGTCGTCGGAGAATTCGATCTAAGATAGCCGTGAACGCCAGCTTGCAAAACGTGTGGGAAGTCCTCACTGATTATGAAAGGTTAGCTGATTTCATTCCCGGTCTTGCCGTCAGCCAGTTGCTTCAAAAGGAACCTAATTTCGCCCGGCTTCTTCAGGTCTTTGCCTTTTAATTCTTGCTAACCTTTTATTTATTGATATAGAAACTACTCCAATTAGAGATGTACTAGTTTCTAGAATTATTCAAACTATTGACTTATAAGAAAAATAACAACAGCTGCTGCTGCTACCATTACTATTGAGCTTGCAAATCGCCATACATTAAGTCTGTTTTAGACAAGAGTTTAAGTTCTCCGTACTAATGGTACAAAATAATTTACTCAATCAGGTCGCTTAAAAAGTAACCTCCTAGAGGCTAGAATAAATGTTAAGTAACCTACTACAGTTAAATTACGCTAATGATATAAAAAATTCATTACAATGTTGGTGTATATAGCTTAAATCCTTTAGACAATTGTGTATGTTGCTTTGCAATCCTTACTGCCTGATGAAAATCTAAGCAACTTGACTTTTTACCACCGATATGTCAAAAGTCAAATTGTACAAAGGTGCTCTTTTCTTGGCAAGATCAAGACATGAAAAACTCCGAAACAACTTAACATCTCATCACTATCATCGGGCTAAGTTATGAATCACACTGCTCGATTCCAATCGGTCACACACACATGCGCACACACACATATATGAAACTCATTACTCAAACAGAGAGAAAGAAAGCTCTTTACATTCAATTGAATGTGAACCAAATGTTTCTTCTTTTGACAAATAGCAGCATGCTGCTCCTTATGGGAATTTATTGACTTTGCCACTCACTGAGGTTTAATTATGAGTTGTGCACATTTTAACAATGGTCTATCTGATATTTTGGATCTATTAATTTACAGTCAAAAGACAACATGCCTATATTTTCTCTGGTTTGTGAATTTCCATGACATATCAGTAATATGTCATTAGTATGATATTAATGACATTGTATAATATTGAACAGATTGGGGAGCAAGACTTAGCATTTGGACTCAAATTTAATGCTAAAGGTATTGTTGATTGTTATGAGAAAGATCTTGAAGATCTCCCCATTGGTCAGAGGCGTGATATTGAGTTTAAGATGATGGAGGGTGACTTCTATCTTTTTGAAGGGAAATGGTCTATCGAACAGGTGGTGGATTCTTCCTTCCCTTTTTCTATTCCTTCCTCTGCCATTCAGTTGTTATTAGGAACTCAGTTGGAAACGTGCAACGCGAGGTTATAGAAATTGAAACAACACTCGAAGATCCCATATGTTTTTTTCTAGAATGTCTTCAAGGTATGCATGATAAATTAGTGATAAAAGTCATACTGATAATTTTACTAACCTCTACAAAGATCAGAAAAAGTAAAGCTTGAAAAATCAACTCTTTGAATCTATGAGTTAAAGTTCATTTGCAATAATTCTACAACTATGAGCTGATTCTCCTTTTGAAATGTAGTCATGAGTTTTCATTGCATCTTACAATTGTTTTTCC